CCCCAAAACCCCAAAACCCCGTACAGATTGAATTTGAGTGAGATTCGCGAATAACATGTTCTTAATTTATGTTATAAACATTATATACCTTAAAAATTAATGAATAAATCTATTTTCCCTTACACGCTAGTGCTTTTAATTTCATCATATTTGATTATTCTTAACTGCTAAGTATCTTAAAATATCTGTAAGATTTCATTAGTTAACAAGATATTAGGCAGCTTTAATGAATTGTTTGATTGAGCCTCTAATTCTTGCGTTTGTAAGTTAAATATTTATATATATTTATAGAAATGGCTAATGTATCATTGCCTTTAAAAATTGAAAGGGAATAGCTTATATAAAGTAATTCAAGCAAATCTTTAATAGCCATCTCAAATGGACAATTCGGTATTGATTCGAGCGATTCCTTGCAATCATCAGGACTTATAATGATAGATTATAATGACGAAGAAAACCCATCAATAATGATTAAAGATTTTGCTCTAGATAATATTGATGGATCTGCTGGATTTTCAGATCAACCCTCTCTATATGTTTCACTAAGCACCATTTATGTTTCTAATATCCTGCTTTAGAGAATCGACTATTCAAGTTCCTAATAATAATTGCCAACTAACTCGCTCTTAAAATTTGAAAATTTTACAAACTTAACAATTAATGGATTTAAGACAAGTGCTTTAAAGTAGGTTGGAACCCTTAATTTAAAACAACTAAATGATAAAATTTAATCAATCCAATTACAAGATTTAACGATAAATGAACTTTATTTAAACAAAGCAGATTAAAATTTTCTGAACTCATCAGGTAACTAAACAATTATAAAATTTATTAATTGCAAAATTCAAAACATTAGTAATTAAAATGGAGGAGGAGTATTTATCGATTTGAAATACATTTTCAAAGTTTAATTTAGCTTGGAGAACTGTATTTTCTAGGATATAGATGGATTTGAAAGTCTATTTAAAATTGCAGCAAATAATGTTGAAATTTCACTGAATAACTGTACTTTCAATAACATTTCTACTTCTAGGAGTATATTTGATTTGTACTCAGAGATTGCTTAAATTTCTATCTTTAAAAGCAATTTTATAGATTTTTCAGAGAACTCAGTATTGTCTGAATTATTTGCAAACAAACTTAATGGATAGATTTCAATTAGAACATAAGAATGCTTTTTCTAGATCTATATTAACACAATCGATCAGCCAATTTTAAAAATTAATACAGCAAACTCTTACATTGATATGGGATCATAATTTCAAATAAAGATTAATTTTCCTGAACTGCAAAGGTTTAAGTTATTTTAATGTACAAGTTGCAACTTGAGTATTACAGATTCTAGCTTTATATTTGAGAATTTAATATAATATCAGATACCCCTCTTGATTTTAGCTGATTAAGCCGTAAATGTCTCCGTTTCTAATGCCACTTGTAATTTTGCTTTGGACTAATATTACCAAATAATTTGAGTATAAGGTGAAGACTAAGCTCTGATTTTAATCGATAATATGAAAATAACTCAACAATTTCAGATATACCAAAATTTAAATGAAGGTTTAAGCTTTATTGAAATTGATAATCCAAATGCAAAAGTCACAATCTAGAATATTAAAATAAGTTTCTAATCTTTGAATGATATCACAATGATACTAATTAAATAAGCTTTATCAATTTAGATTATTCAAACCTAGATTTCAACTTTATCAACTCAGGCTCTTGGGCAATTAATATTATCCTAATCAAATACGGTTGATATTCTAGTTAATAATATCTAGGTTAATTGTTCATTAAATCCAATAAGTATCAATGATCTTAACTTTATTGACTAGATAAGCTCTTAATCTCTATTTTACTTATTAAATGGCAGATAGATCTTTATTTAAAACAGTATATTTCAGAACTGTTATAACTCCAGAGAAGGTCAAATATTTAATATCAAGAACTATGATAAATTCATTATAGCCAATTCATCTTTCACTAATATTTCTTCATATACTGGGGCAGCTTATAACTTTTAAAATGTAAACACAAGCATGATCCAAAACATTACTTACAAAAATATTTACTCTAATACTGGAGGTCTTATAAATATAAAAGGAGATTCAAATGTAACTATGACAGGTATGATTGCAGAGCAATGCATTTCGAGAGGGAATGGAACTATGATATATGCATCTGACCAAGATGGTAAAATAATACTGCAATTGAATGGAGTTATAAACATTACTACAGTAAAATCTTAAACTGGATTTGGAGGAGTGTTCTATGTTAATGGATAAAATATTTATCTATCGAGTAATGCTTTAATATCGGCTTAAAATCTTTCAGCTTAGGATGGTAGCTTTATTTACTCAGAAAACTCCTAATTCATAGAAGTTAGAAACGCTTTAATTCAAAATATTACCAATGGATAGGTATTTTTCTCTAAAGGATAAGGTGCTATTTTACTCTCAAATAATACTTTTGAGTGTATGAGCAAAAAATTTGAAGATAAATATGTTTAGCTTGCTTATATGCAAACAAATCCTGTAATTTCCAATTTCTTCTAGCCAACTCAAAAGTCTCCATTAATCATTATAAATTCTAGGAATGTCATGTCTAGTGGGAATAAAATAAGGTAGTGCTATTAGTCATCTAAAGGAGGAGCTATCTATCTTGAAAATACTACTTTTAATGATTCTATGGGATCTAATTTTAGTTTTAATTCTGCACTCGAAGGAGGAGTGATATATTGCAAATATTGCAAATTGTAATTAAATGAGACAATATTCTAGAGTAATTTTGCTAACTTAGGAGGGTCAATATATCTTTACCAGATCTCTTAGCTGATAGCCTACAGGATTTAAGTTAGAAATTCTACTGCTTACTAACTAGGTGGCTTCATTTATTAAAACTCTACTGATACTAGTATTTAAAAGATCCTAACTGATGATGACTATGACAAGGATAGTAATAGCATTAATTTCACATATTCTTACCCTTTCATTAGAATTCTTGATAGATCTAATATAAGATATACATACGCACTCTAGCAGGGAGGGTCTTATTATATTCAAGCTAATAACTCCGAGTTTTATATAGAGGGAATGGTTAATTAAAGTGATTCCTTGGCTATAAATTATGGAAGCTAGGGAGGAATTATTAGAATAGTTTAGGCAGATAAGTTATTCATCTCAGATTCATTTTTCTATCTTTATAATTCAACTAATGGAAGTGTCGTTGCCTCACAATGTTCAAGACTAAGTGTTTTTATAAGAAATAGCTTTTTCGATCAGAATAGAAAATTCTTTTTCCTTCTTTCTGTAGATTTGTATTTTGGAGATTTTACTACAGGAGCTATATCGATAGAATTTAGCAGGAAATTTGTGACCAGAAACAATACGTATTAAAATCATTTTTTCCCAAGAAACGGAGGTGTAATTTTTTCTAATATGAACTCTTTTTCTGATTTCAACTCAACTTATCTGAATAATTACGCTGTTCATGGTGGAGTTTTTAGATTAATTAGTGTAATTAGTGCAAGTGTAAAAAATGCGACTTTTCGACATAATAGGTGCTCCGGATTTGGAGGAATTTTCTACTTGGTAAATGTAACTGATGAATTTGAGGTTGAATATGCTAACATCTATAATACATCAGCTAATGTTGGAGGAGTTATTGTCTTAAACTAACCATATGTTCCATTCGTATCACGCAAAAATTCATAAATTAGAATGAGTAATACTAATGTAACTTTAGTTTACGGATTCAATGGTGCCTTTGGTTAATTTGATGGGTATAACACTACAATTATTATAGAAAAGTCGTATTTCAATATGACTCTTGGTGGGTAGTTCAATTCCTTTAAAATAGACAGAGCAGCAACTTTTATTATCAATGATCTTACTGTCTATAATATATTTGCTTCAGTTGATTCAGGTTTTGTGTATGCTAGCAATATCACTGAAGTTTTATTGGTTAATAACAGCAGAATAAATTGCAGAGAACCATATTTTAGAAGATTCAAATAAAATTCTCCTAGCTTGCCAGGATCATCTTCTAATGTCTTTGATTGGACAAAATAGGTAGTCTTAACTAAGATTATTACTCTACTTTCAGTTTAATAAGCCATTTTCTCTTACAATAAGATCAGTGGTTGTGATCTATAGAGTACTACCGATGCTGCAGTTATCTCAGCTAGAGAATTTACTTAAACAATAATCGATTTCTCTTCAATTTATGAAGATATTAACTCCATTCAAAATGGAATACACTATCTTAATAATACCAAAATATATATGTCAAATGCTACATTCACAAATTTGAGCATTAATACGGGAGTAATTTCTACTATATTAACAAATATACACATTATAAATTCAACTCTTAAAAATAGCGTTATGAAAGAAGGTGGTTTCCTTTATTATTAAAAATTTACTTATCTACTTTCAAAAACAAGGATGCATTCTTCTATTACTAATTCAACTTTCCAAAATATAACAGTAGCTGATAGAGGTGGATTGATTTTTTCTGATAATTATGCTTTGAGAACTATCAAGTTGTAATCACTAGACATAAGCTAAATCAGATCTGGTGGTACGGGAGGAATAATTCACTTAGAATAATTCAATGGAACATTCAAAGCAGGTCAAAGAAAAAATTATAGATATTTTTAAGCTGTTGATTTCTACTCAGTTAAAGGAGGATAATTCCTTTACAGTTCAACTTCTCCAAATTTGTTCATTTTTAACAATACGCTAATTTAATGCTTAGCAGAAGGAGTTTCACCTATCAAGAGAAATTTAACAAATTCAGATTAAATTGGAGTAATCTTTATAGCAGATTCAGTATTTGGGATTTAAAGCTAAAATGCAACAATCACTAGATGTCTCCTATCTTATTAAGGACCTTCAATAAATTTAATAAATACAACCTACACTGATTACGGATCAATCTTTAAGTACAATAACGCAAGTTTTGGGTCAGCAATTAAATGTAATGGCTGTAATATCACAATGAAAAACAGCATATTTCAAGATAGCATTAGCAATTTCGGATAAATTCTTTTAGATAACCAAATAAATGCTTTATTTGAAAATATAACAGCAAAAAATTGTACTTCTTAAGATGGTGGAATATTTTATATTTCTAAATCAACTCAAACTGATGGAAAATATTCTTATGTTGTCATAAAAAATTCGAAGAACATATTTGATAACATCGCAAGAATCAATGGAGGATTCATATTTGCTGATAACATTAATCTTAAAATGAGTTTAGAGAACATCAGAGTAGTTAGATAAAAAGCATTAGCTGAGGGAGGCCTACTAATAGTTAAGAATGCACAAGAGATTAATATATCGAATTCTGTATTTTAGGATATTTTATCTGCTCAAGGTGCAATCATTTCATCTGAATCATCGGCAGTTATTTTCTCTATTAAATCAAGTCAATTTACTTGTGATTCTACATTAACAGATTCAGATGCGATTTCAAAATTTAACATATCATCTCCAGAGATTTTAACACAAGGGTACTTTTTTATGTAAAATGCGAAAAACATAACTATTGACCGAAGTACCTTTAGTAAATGCACTAATTCATTATAAGGATTATTCTAGCTATAAAAAACAAGTTTATACGATTACAGGTCAATATTTTAACAGAACTCAGGCGCCTATGGAAGTATATTAAATAGTCAAGAAAGCCAAAGTACATTTTAATTTTCTCAGATTTCGAACAATATGGCTAATGTTGGAGGAGTATTTTATGTGGTCTAATATTCAAATGTCTCACTTTAAAACTGTAAAATTCAATAGAATTATGCTAAGACATCAGCTGGTGTTTTGTATCTATCAACTCTCTCAAATATTTAAATAAGAGCATCTGATATATCTTAGAATAATGCTCCAGAAAATTCTGTTCTAGAAATACTGAATTCAAATACAAACTTGAATGTCACCATAATAAATTCCTTTATTAATGATAATTTCGCTCTCAGAAATACAATTTCATTGACACAGACTAATATTTACATTGAGAAAACTCAATTCAAAAATAATATTGCTTTCTAAAGATCAAAGAATATTATTTGCGCTTTTTCAAATATAACTATCAAAGATTCTAGCTTCGAGGATGATAAATAGTTCAATAATAGTATGATGAATTAAGAGATAACAGGAGCATTCATTTTCTTGATATTCGATGTAGTTATTGAAATATAGAATACTAAATTTAAAGGAGGATCAGCAAATTTAGGAGGTGCGATGTACATATCTGGTGATAGTACTGTTAGGATATTCCAGTCAGAGTTCTTAGATAACTACTCAAAAAGAAAAGGAGGTGCTTTATATGCCTCAACCTTTAAAAGTATTTACATCGGATAATCTACTAATTTCAAGAATAATTTAGCATCAGGCAATGGAGATGATGTGTTCGTGACAAATAGCTACAATCTTATCACTTTTGACAGTGTCAATATAGATAATCCTTATGCTTAATCGTCCATTTATATTCAGCAAGCCCAGATTTACACTAATAACTTGGTTATTCAAAATATTAATAAGAATTAACTATCTCAAAATGGGGCAGGGATAAATTGCCAAGAGTGCTATTCAGTGCTGATTTAAAATTCGATATTTAAAAATCTAAATAGTTCCTCTGGAGGTGCAATTTACTTGGTTGAATCAGAATTTAACAAGGATAGCAATAGTATTATGAGCAAGCAAAAATATCAAATCATAAACTCAACCTTTGAATCCTGTTTTGCCTAAATAGGGGGTGCCATTTATGCTTTAAATACTGAGTCGCTTATTATATCTGGTTCTAATTTTCTATATAACAGGGCAGAATAATTCAAAACCTCTATTTATCAGCTTGACTTAGCTGGTTCAGGTGGAGCAATATATATGACTTGCAATAGCTAAGAATTAAATTGCCTTTTTAAATTTCAAGGTAATAACAAGTTTACTAGAAATTCAGCTATAATTAGGGGAGGAGCAATTTATTGGGATGAATTAGAGCCAGAATACTTTATTGAAAATATGATATTCTCTGAAAATTAGGCTACTCAATATGGAGATAATATTGCTTGTTTTTCTTAAAAGCTAGGAGTTATTGATAGAGACTTATATAAGAAATAAATGTTAAAGTTAGGATTGGTATCTTTAGATGATTTTGATTTCAGGCTTTTGAACACAATATCCGATAATAATAATGCTTCAATTAGTTATGACTATTCTCTTAATTCATAGAGAAGTGGAGGAGAAGTTCCTGTCTTATATATGGCATTAATTGATAAGTATGGTCAAATAGTAGGATCTGATTTCAAAAGTAAAGTTAGAATTCAAATTCAAACAGAAGGACTTGATGCAAATGCAAGTAAATACAGTCCAATTATTGAAGGTAGTACTGATTTCATAGCAACTGGAGGAATTGCTGTGATTCAAGATATAAATATAGTAGGCACACCAGGTAGTAGTTATTAAATGATAGTTACCACTGATGGTATCGATTTAAATAAGAAGGCCAATAAGGAATAGCTCGCAAAAACTAATAAGAATTAAATTGACTTAGATATTGTTATAGACCTAAGAGATTGCTTAATAGGAGAATAATTTACAAATGCTGGAAAGTGTGTTTAGTGCCAAGATGGATATTCATTAGCTTAATAGTATGAGCCAGGTGTTTGTACTTAGTGTCCTTCACAGAGAGCAGTTTGTCTAGGGGGTGCAAGCATTGGGCCATAACCAGGATACTGGAGAAAAAATAATAAATCTGAAACATTCATAACCTGTTTATATCAATATGCTTGTTTAGGAATGATTGCACCAAATTATAATCCGATTGGAGAGTGCAGTTTTGGGTACTAAGGAATACTATGTGCAGACTGTTAGGTTGGCTTCTCTAGATCTAATGATTATGAATGTGCCTTATGTCCTCCAAGATCACTTAATATATTCAGGCTCTCTGTTATATTCATTGGATTTTTGTCTCTTATTGTATTCATGGTTAGATCAACATTAAATGGTGCCAGTGACAAAACCAACTCCACAAGCATATACACTAAAATATTGCTAAATCACTTCTAGCTATTAATGGTTGTTGCTTCATTTGATTTTGAGTGGTCATAGTAGATTGTTGAGTTTTTCAGTACAACCAAGCAGATTGCAACCATTTCGACGCAAATTTTTAGTTTTGATTGCTTCCTAGATGATAGAAACGAAAATAAAGGATAGGAAGTAAAGTAAAATGTAAGGGTATTTTTACAAAAGTAAATTATTGTGGCGCTCTTGCCCATATTACTAACGATTACATGCTTAGCATTTTGGAATATCTACAAAAAGATAAAATAGCAATCTCAAGCAATCTGGAATAAAGCAATGTCAAGTATAGTTATTTTATTATTCTTGGCTCATCCTAGCATTGTGTAATATTCGTTCAGTAATTTCAAATGCAAAAACATTGAAGGAGATAATAGAGTATTAGAAGATTTAGAAATCATTTGTTGGGAACAAGAGCATCTATTTTTCACGAATTTCTTTTCAATTCCTGCAGTCATTGTATGGGGAGCAGGCATACCTCTGTTCGCCTATTTAATTCTTTTAAAAGATCGATTTAAGCTTGAAAATTTAGACGTGAGATAAAAGTACGGTTTCCTTTACAGAGGTTATAGGACAAAATATTTTTACTGGGAAATAGTCATCATGTATAGGAAGATAATTATTATTATTATTGCTGTCTTTGTAGGAAGTTTTGGAGTTATATCTTAAGCACTCTTGATGCTACTTATTCTTATATGGTAATTAATTTCTTCTAACTTTAATTTAGTTTTACATTATTCAATTTCAAGAAAAAGCCTTTTATCCAGAAATCTTTAAACAATCTAGAAACTCTATCATTAATAACATCAATGGTTACTGTATACTGCGGGGTCTTCTTCATAATAAATAAACCATAAAAGTGGATAAATCAGAATCCAGATTATTCCAAAGGAGCTATATCGCTTTCGGTGGGATTCTAAAGATTCTTTTTCTCAATGATTTTGATTGCAAATCTACTCTTTCTCATCTACTGGGCTATAAAATTCCAGTAGGAACTTAGATCTAAGTTTAGAGAAAAACTAACAAAAATCTATCTAGCAGTATTCTTATGTTTCAATAGAGATAAACTTAAAAAAGAATTCGAAGAATATAAAATCAAAGAGATGAATCTAACATATGAAGACAAATTCTTGAAGTACCTTTAAGTTATCAAGGATTTGAGAAAAACTGGCAAATTTGTCTTAAACAAGAGAGCCATAGAGAGAATAAGAATTTATTTTGGGAAAGAAGCGATTGATAAATTGCTCAGGAATCAAAGAGTTGTAAATAACTAATAAAGAAAGGCAAGAATCATAAATGACTTAAAATCAAAATAAATGTAAAAGAAAAAGTCGTTTAATTCGAATGATTAGAAATCAATTGATGAATAATTAGAGGATGAATTAACTATTCGAACAGATGATTATTCTGATGAACTTAAGGACTATTTCCTTTCAATGTAATCATCTTATAATATTAAGAAACCCAGAAAAATATCTGATTATAGCAAGTAAAGATCTAACAATATTAAAAACAACAAAATATAATTTCAACCAAGTTTTAAGTCCGACTAACTTCATTACATAAATTAAGAATCTCTTAAGTCTGGAATAAAGCTAACTAAGAGCATTTCTAACTTAAAGAATCTAAATAATGCATTTTAGCCATAAAAACAGAAAGCTCAATCACCAAATATAGTTGGCTTTTTCTCTACTAAGACATCTTTTCTCAATAAATAATAAAAAACAGAGAAATAGCCTCAATTAAAACAGAGTTTTTCCAATGACTAGTTGGAAAGTAGATAAGAAAATTTACTTTAAGAAGAGACCATTTTTTAAAGCTAAAATGATGAAATTATATCAAATTTCTCTGATGATAATGAAAACGGTTTCAATTTGAGGAAAACAAAAGTTTAAGAGTAAGATTGGTTAAGACTTGAAAATGAAATACTTTAAAACTAGAAATGCATTTTTATCAAAGATAATAAAGCTAATATCAATTAAAATCATAGACAACATCTTTAAAAGAAAGCTTAGAACTATAACAGTATGTGGTCATTAAAGCAAAGCAGTCAAAATAAACGTATCAATCAATCCAAAGAATCTTAAGACTAGCATCAAATTCGAAGAAACACCACTAACTATCTTAGAAACAGTACATATAATGTAGATGAAATAGATATTAATAAAGTTTTTCTTGATTCTCAATTAACAGACCCAGATCAATTAGGAATAAATGGAATGCAGAAAACTCAAGATAATGAGGAGATCAAGGAAAATATAATAGATTTTACTGATAATAGGGATGATATAAATAATGAAAATAGTATCATGGATTCAAAATTATATTCAGAAGTAGCATATCATTCTAGTATTGAAGGCCAGACTGAACAAAAAGGTGTCTAGCATTTTCATAAATTACAAACTAAGCTAACTAGTAGATTCTATGATAAGGTTTAACAAATTAACTAAATTGAGAATAAAAATGAAGGTGATGTATAAATCAGCATTCAATTTCAGCAAAATCAAAATGATAATTAAGTAACTGATGAGAATAGATTATAAACAGAAGAGTTATGTGAATTTGATTAAGTTGATGAATAGCAAAATAATCATAATTAGTGATAAGAGTTGGCTCAAAGTAAAAAGTTTTCAAAATAACATAAGTATAAATAAGGCTTTTGCTTTCTTATTATATTAAAATAGATTATAATTTAAATTAGCTTGATTAAGTAGTTTCAATTAAAAATCCAATTAACTCTCATGGGGTTTTGGGGTTTTGGGG